TTTGAGAGGCTGATTGAAGTAGGAGCATCATACTGAGTTTGAGGCTAGCCTGGGTTACAGGGTAAAATGGTCTTTTAAAAAGAGAAAAGAAAATCTGGTTCTGCAAGCTGAGAGGTCCTTTTAAGGACACTGTTATCACTCATGAAGACAGAGCTCATAACTAATAACTAAATCAACTTAATGTCTCATATCATAAGTCTGCTGTGTAGATTAGTTTCAATGCAATGCACAGGAAGGGGACATAGACATGATGAACGTTTAGACCCTAGCATCAACCCACTTTAAAAAGGACAGTCCCAATAAAGCAGTAAAGAACCATGTCAAAGTTGCCATGTCAAAGCTGCCCCATACTTCTTTGCCATTCTTTATATCCCCCCTTTTTTTCCCTAGTGAATTGATGTCCCCATTACTCTTGAACCCTGTCTAATGTTTGTATGTCACAGTGTTTCAAGACTGCTTAGCCATCCTTCAAATTTTGCTGCCTTAGGATACTTAACAGTCTGTTGCATTATTTTCCTTGGAGAGAGGACAAGAATAGACTGAAGATTCCATCCAAACCCAGTTGATGGCCCCATAAGCTCATCAGGATTACAAACAGGAACACGAATGATTGACAGCTGCAACTGAGAAACAACAGCCTTCTCAAGAACTCAAAGTCTCTGCATGTTTGAAGAGTCTCTTCTATCAAGTGTGTACTGCTTATATAACCTGTGGAAAGGGGTCTTTGGTCATAAATTTCTGTCTTGTACCTCCCCATGGAACAAGATGTTGACAGTAGTCATCAAGTGACCCAGGAATGAAATGAAAAGTGACCAAAGACTATAAAGGGGGATGGGGGGATTGACTATTGATTATTAAGTTGGCCATTCCATCAAAGCTCCACCCTCCAAGAACAAGAACAAATGTGACAAGCTGTTGGATCATCTGTGTCATTGAAGGCATGTGTTCTGAGATTCCCTGCTCCCTCCAGGAGGCTGTTTCTATAAATAGGAATTAGCTGTACAATAAACCTCCAGGTCACACTAAGGTGTGATTAGTTGATAAGCTTCTGATAATTACACTGGAAATGTTATTAGAAAAAATTTTAATGTTTATGGGAGTTTTGCCCTCTGTGTATGTTTGTGCACTACCCACTTGCCTAGTGTCCCTGCAGGCCACAAGAAGTCATTGGGGGGCCCCTGGGTTTTGAGAATCGAAACTGGGTCCTCTGGAAGAGCAGTCAGTGCTATTAACTGCTGACCCATCCTCCTAGACTCTCACTAGAAGGAGTTTAACCATTGACATCAGTGTTGCCCTAACCAGACTCTAGTGGGGCAAAGTCCACTTGCAGGCCTCTTGAGAACATTCTTTTATGTATTTGTCTGAACCTCAGGATTAGATATACCTAAATTAACCATAGCTTAAATAGTGTGATTCTTAAAGAAAACCCAAAGATAACTAGCTCAGGACTGACATGGCACAATGTCATCATGTTCCAGATACAGATGTGTTCCAAGATTCTCTTTTCATCTTAGCACAAGACCTTTAAAAACAAAAACAGAAACAAAAAACTCATGTAGCCCAAGCTGGCCTGAAACTTGTGATCTTCCCTCTAGCTCATGTGCTGAGAATTACAGTTGTATGCTACATGCCTGGCTAGAATTTTAAAGGTCATTTTGTAGTTGCAAAAGGGCAACCAGCCATACATATTCAAGGAAGAATTAGAAAAACAAAAGGCAGGATGTTAAAGAGGCAAAGTAACTGGGTCTCTAACAGTAATGTGGTTAAAGGGATCTAGAATGCAGGAATTAACATGGAGGTCTGGTATGAAGGAGTCAATGAACCAGGCAAGTCACAGACCAGAATTTAGGGCAGTAGCAATAGGAGCAGAATGGATTGGGGAGTGAAATTACAATACTTAAATGGTAAGTAGGCCTGATTAGTTATCTAGATATGAAAGAGTAGGAAAAAAAAGCATTGATTTCCAGGTTTCTGGCTTTATGAAAAATAAAATGGCAGAGAAGCAGTCATTGGAGATGAGATTTGTATACATATGAGTTCAGGGACATAGAGATACCTAGTAGTAGACTAGATGTGAATATGAAGATGAGGTTGGATGTACCAGTCTTCTGTGAACATATACTCCCAAAGTAATAATAAAGTAGCATGAGAGGCAGAGACAGTCAGATCTCTGTGAGTTCGAGACCAGCCTGGTCTACCATAGCGAGTTCCAGGACAGCCTCTAAAGCCACAGAGAAACCCTGTCTCGAAAAACCAAGTAAATAAAGTAGCATGGATGTACCAGTCTCCAAGGCAACAACTCAGTCTTAGGGATACTATTGCTGTGATGAAACACATGACCAAAAGCAATTTTGGGAGGAAACGGTTTATTTGGATTACACTTCCAGTTATTATTATTGAAGGAAGTCAAGACAAGAACTCAAACAGGGCAGGGACCCAAGGGCAGGGCAAGAGCTGATGCGCAGGCTATAGAGTCGTGCTGTTTACTGGCTTGTTTCTCATGGCTTGCTTAGCCTGCTTTGGCTCTCCCCCACCAATCACTAATTAAGAAAGTTCTCTACAGGCTTGCCTGAAGCCCAGTCTTATGGAGGCATTTTCTCAATTGGTATTCCCTTGTCTCAGATGACTCTAGCCTGTGTCAAGTTAACATAAAACTAGCCAGCACACCAGAGAAAAAAGAATCCTTGAAAATTAAGTCAAGAAATTGGTAGCAAAATACTTAGGAGCAAATTTAGAACTTAGGAGCATTGAATTCTAAAAGAGAATAGATCATAGGAGATACACTAGGCAGTGTATACAAGACAATGAAAGGACTTTGGATGCAGGCATGCCTTAAATATCAAAGCAATCCTGAGTCAGTCTCATTTGCTTGGAGGAAAGCCAGGATCTGGGTACTGTTGACCCTGGAACTCAGCAGAGGATTTTGATAAAAGGCACGTGCCAAAGACTTTATGATTATCCCTGCAATATACTCGGTATCTATAGTTTCACTCCCTGCTTGTGATACTGATTAGCAGTGTTTCCTCCCCCCCTTTGTTGTACAGGACTATTCTCCAAGTCAAACTGCTTCCATCTGCAGTTAAGTCGTACTTCCTTGCAAAAGATCATCTAGTTGGCCCTGTCAACGGTTTACATCTAGAGGGGTGGGGAAGATCACAGAGTCTCGCTGACTATCCAATTGCTCCATTTCACCTGCTGGGCAATGCTGCGCTAACAGTGTATGGCTTCAGGAGGGGCTAGACTATTCAAGTCTGGGGAGGCTAAGGCAGGGAGCCTTCTGTGTGTCTGAGGGAAAGACACCATCTCTTCTAGGTAATGTCTTTCCAATGTGACCTTGGGAGGGGGTACACCCACACTCATGTAGAAAACCTATGCTTTGTAAGAAAACGGAAGGAATTCATAGATTCATCAGAGTGAACTTTGGTGAAATTGTGCGTAGGTTTGTTGTTGACTTTTGGGGAGAGCATAGATGTTGCTCCCACCCCCACCACTGAAATGGGGAAGGATTTCAGCAACAATCCCATCAAAGAATTTGTTTATTGGTAAACCTATAAATTTCCAGAGTAGAGAAAGGGCCTGGAACTGGGGAGATGGTCTACTTTAAGAGGCATTGGGCTTTTATAATGTGTTTGGGGTGTTCTGCTGGCGATTCCCTCACTCTTCCTGTTTCTTTTGGTCCTAAGGTGTCCATGTGCTTGTCTTCAGCAGGGATTGAAGCTCATTCTCTGTAATTGTTGATAGGCTAGCAGAAGAGTGGATGTCCCAGCCTCCTTTGCTCTTTAGGATATGGCAGGTACAGAGAGAACCCACCACATGCCAGGGGGAATGGACCATGTTTTGGAAGAATAAATACTGTCGTGCCCAGACTCTGGACCCCCCAAACCACCAAGAGACCAGATCCGATGCAAAAGCAAAGAGTCTTTTAAATTACGAGTTAACTCGGGTACTCTGTCTGTCTGACACAGAGGGTGAAGTAGGAGGGACCCCAAGTAGCAGTGGGGCAGGGCATGTATTGGGGGTAGAGCAAGGGGGGGGTCTCAGGGTCTGGTAGTTGCATAGTAAAAGTCTCAGGACTGGAGCAACTCAGGATGGGGGAACCTGTTCTGAGTTGACTGGTCAGCTGCAGCTGCAGAAAGGTTGCTATGCTGGAGGCCCTCCCAGAGCCTTTGCTACCTACTGCATGCACTATTATCGGTAAAGCACATCCAGGGCCCACCGGCTAACTTCTGAGTGGTTTCTTACCACATGGAGGATATCTGATAGCTTCTCTCCAGTAATTAGGGCAAGGGCGGGCAACGGGGTGGGGAGCTCAGCACATGTTGCTGAGTCAGGGGCCTACCTACATCTTGCTGAGTATTTTCTGCAGCCTGTCATGGGTGAGGGTCTGGACCCTTCATTACTACTGGAGGAAAACAAAAAAACCACAAAGAAATAAAAACTTACTTCTTATTGCTGAGGACAGAAAGCTTTTAAAAAGACAAATTCTCTAACTGGGTTATTGTTTCCTTTCTCCCATCCGGGACCTAACTGGGATTTTCCTCCTTGAAGGCTTCCCTTTCCATCTCAGCAGAAAGCAGGCCTGAGAGGTGACAGCTTCACAGACTGATGCTCAAAGACTACCTCCTGCTCCCCTAGGCGGCCAGCCCCTTGGAAGATTTACTCTTTTAAAAATTATTTTTCTTGTTACTTCTTTACTGTGACTTTCCAAATCAATGGCAACTGCACGTTACAACTTCACGTGAAGGTCTAAGCGGTAGTTCTGGTCCCTGGCCAATCCCCAAAAGCTTTCAAAAGCATGATGGAATTTTGTCTTGATTCCAAAGAAAACCCTCAGCAGCTGTGTCTGAAGAGTATTTGGAGGTTGTTATAACTTGAGAGCAGGAGCAAATCACCATTGTAAGGGCCTGGAAAGATATCCATGACGGACTAAGAGAGCTCTGAGCGCTAGTAAACATGGGCACAAAAACATTTTGGAGAGGTTTTTTTTTTTTTTAGAAAGGGAAAATCGAAACCGTTTGAGGTAAGGAATCGGAGACTCACGCCGTTTCTATTACCTGGGTTTTGAGAGTGTAGTTCTGGCTGCCAAGCTCTCTCTACGCAAAGGCTGTGACCCAAAATAGGTGCTGGGGGAGGGGGTGTGGTCATCAGTCTTTGGGAGTGGCCAGAGGAGCTCCGTAGCTGTTCAGCCGACGGGTGGAGCTCGAGCGCTAGCGCTTTCTGCGTGGAAAATCCTTGGGTGCTAATATCGGCGGTGGCAGGTAAGCAAGGGTACGGAATCGGCTGCAACCGAGCCTGGGGTGACAGGTGGGGATGTTTCGGGACTGCATGCGTCAGGGGCTGTTGGGGGTGGGGTGCGGTAAGCAGTCCTTGTTCCTTCTCCCTCGGAAGGCCTCCGGCGTGCAGTTCGGGACACCTCTCCCTGGTTTATAGCTCCTCCGGCCTTTTTTATTTAGTGAAGATATCCTGCTGCAGGCCGATTCCCGAAAGCCCGGACTCTGCTTCCCACGCACGGTCCGGGAGCTCGGCATTCCCTGGGCATCTGACTCCGGGGACGGCCCCCGCCGCGCAGAGAAGGCAGACGCAGGGGAGCCGAGGGCTAACCTCAGCTTCGATGACCTACCGCCTTTTTTCTGGCCGAGGTCCACATTTGAAACTGCTTTAACAGATATCTTTGGTGCGTGGGCCGGTGCCACCCTTCAGTCTCAGGACAGACTTGGAAAAGAACCGTAGGCCGTGAGTGTCCTTTGTTTTCGTCCATAGGTAGTCGAAGCAGTTATTTAACCTTGTCTTCTCATCAGAAAAGGGGGAAAGCCTTACTTCACAGGGTGGTGGTGAGCACTAAGGTCGCTCACGAAAAAGCTCAGATTGGCCTCTGGGAATGTGGAGAACCGCAACTGTTTAGGAGACCCCAACCCTAGGGTCATCTTTTCGCCGCTACTCCGGGGCAGACACACAGGCGTCAGAATGTCAATCGAGGGCGCTCACAACATTTGCTGTTAACAGTCTGCGGAGGTTAAGAGGGTGTTAACCTCATTGTGCACCAAACAAACTGAATATTTTTTTTTTTTTTGGCGTGTACCTTGCCGTATACAGAAAATCTTCCATTTCACCGGACGGGTTGAAAGAGAAACCCAAATCAAACGGATTTTAGGGTGGGAATACCGGGATGAACCAGGGATTTGGGGTCCTGGAACAAGTTGCAAAGAGAGCGAGGTGAAGCTGAAGTTCTGTGCGATTTTCAGAGCACCTGGGGTGCTGCTCCTGGGGCCACTGGGTGGCTGGGAGGGGCTTTTCCATTGTGATGGTGGTTTGCTCTTTGTCCCTAGCTGTTGATGTAATTACTGCTTTGAACTGAGTAAAGGATCTGCGTTCCGGTTACATGCTTAGCTACTGCATGCCCAAGCTTGTGTAAGGACTTACAACCTGCAGGCTCATGAGACTGCTAACACTAGGGTATAGTAAGCCACTTAGTTCCCAGGCCTTGGTAAGTACAAGCAACAAGTGATTTTGTGACTATCCTCTTGTCTTGGGACAGGTAATCCTGTCCCTCTGGCTCTCTGTGAACTTCCTATAAAATGGCAATGTTGTAGCTTTGTCTTATATGACATGCTTAGCCTTAAAGTACATCAGGCCCAAGCTCCCTGCAGTTGCAACTACTCCCAGAGCCAGAGCTGTCTGTGAATCCTATGGAAACTGCTGTTAGAATCTCTACTCTGGCTGAGGGTGTGTCTCAGTGGTGGTGTTGCATTTGGGTTCCATTCTTGGTATTGTAAAAGTAAGAGGGGAAAAAAGGAAAGGGGGGAAGGGACAGAGAATCTCATGTAGTGTTTTTGTTTGCTACATGTATTTGGAAGCCGAATTACAATCTCCATCTACTTTCCAAGCTCAAATCTATGCTTGAGATGATGTCTCATTGTTTTCCAGTAATGAGGCCACTGGCTATAGCAGGTTTGGGGGGTTTGTTTGTTTGTATTCAGAATCTAGCTTTATTGACCAAATGGGTCTAAAACGCTTGGGTTTGTGTGATCTTCCCACCTCAGCTACCAAAGTAGCTGGGACTATAAGTACGTGCCATCATGTTTGACTTTATATTAGTTTTTTATTGCTACCAAATGAATTTAAAAAAATAGCTTAAGACAACACAAGTCTTGCACTTCCTTCATCTACCTGGAGTCTGATTAGGGGCAGGCTTCATTCCCTCCCGAGGCCCTGAAGGTTCCATGCCTGTACTCCTTCAAGTATTGGCGGAATGAAACCTTTGTGACTGGAGAACCCAGGTCTGATGTCCTTGAGAGGTGTCAGTTAAGGAGCACTCTTAGCTCCTAGTGGCCATGAGGATGCTGTGGCCAATAGAACACTTCCTGTCCTCGCGTTAGCCATATTAGAATGCCTTTTTATTGTTCTTCATGTCCTGCCTCTGCTTCTGTTTCCCCATGTGTGACAGGTTCTGCTCCCTTCCTCTTCCTTCTGAGGACACTGGGACAACTGAGTCTTCCCCAGCAATGTGTGTAATCCTCAGGTCATTGAAGGTCACCACCAGAGCATGCCTGGAGCCACTGGTTTTAGAATTAGAGTCTGGATGTTTTTATGGGACAGAAAAGTTACTTAGGTTGCTGCTGCGGCAGCCTTGTAATTTAGCTTTCCTTCATTCCCAGTTGCTCAAGTGCAAGAAGTGATTACATTTACCTTATAGTGGTGTTGTAAGGATTAACTACACTGTTCTGTCAGGATCACTAGCATTGACCTGCAATATTTGCCCCCCCAAACAGAAGTTAGGTAGCAATCAAGCTTAATGGCTTGTGTTTGGTAACAAGTTGGGGTGTAATTGTGTGGGCCCTGCAGAACAAAAGACACTTCTAATTATTTAATTAGCACGGACATCTCATTTTACAGTCCTGCTGTGAGAGTCACTTTCAACACTTGGGTTAGGTCCCTGCAGCCTACTGGTTCTCAGGGTGGTCTCTAGGAAGACCTGCAGCCCTTGGGAACTGTGAACAGTACAGTTTTGCTGTAGACTAGGCCTCCCCAGACTCAGGTCCAGTGATCTGTTCATCCTCGGCATGATCTACATGGCCATAGACTCTGAGACACAACCAGTGTCCAAACTCTCTTTTATGTAAGTGCACCACGTATCTGCTCACAATGCGCTCCCAAGTATTTGCTACCCCCAAACATTTTCAGCAACTTGGTCATTCCAGCTGCTTGTCCCTTTTGAGTTTTCCTTGGATGGCAATGAATAAAGTAATTGTCAGGTTGGATTTGTTATAGAATGAAAATTCTTACTCCAGCAATCTTTAGGCTTTGCCTCTTTAAAAGTTTTAAAGTTAAGCCGGGCGTTGGTGGCGCACGCCTTTAATCCCAGCACTCGGGAGGCAGAGGCAGGCGGATCTCTGTAAGTTTGAGACCAGCCTGGTCTACAGAGCGAGTTCCAGGACAGCCTCCAAAGCCACAGAGAAACCCTGTCTCGAAAAACCAAAAAAAAAAAAAAAAAAAAAAAAAAGTTTTAAAGTTACATTCATCTCTTCATCCGTTATATTAATGCACCATGGCACCCTTACGGAGACCAGAGGACAACTTTCAGGAGTTGTGTACCTTTCTGCATCACATGGACCCTGAGGATTGGACTCGGATCGTGAGGCTTGGCAGCAAGGACCTTTATCTGCTGAGTCATCTCACAGGCTCTGTTTGTCTTGTTTGTGTTTAACCTCTAACTATTTTCTAAAGGGCTCTTGTAGTGTCTCTGCTCTGTGACCTCCACTGTCTGAATTTTCCCAAGGGCTGGAGAACTATTTATTAGAGGAATTGCTTTCTGATGTGCTGATACTGTGGCCAGCCTGCAGGTGGCAAGGCAGTTAAGGGATGCTGTGCTCAGAAAAATCGGACGCAGGCTAGGGATGTAGCTCAGTTGGGAAAGCGCTTTCCTGGAGTATCCACAACGCACCGCTCACTGGTCCTCTGTCTTAGGAAGCATGTAGAATAACCTCTCTCCCTTTCTCTGCAGCCCTTCTTATATTTGAAAACTAACTGTCTGCAGAACAGTTCTGGCCCCACCAACCTTTCCCCTGCATCCAACAGTTGCTGGTTTTCCATCCCGACTCACTGGAAGAAACTCAGAGGTGTAGTGCCTGACTGAAAGTGGAATTTCCAGGTCAGGTCTGAGCCCAGGACAGACTTTGTCAGAGACCTCTCAACGAGGCTCAGAAGCCCCAATCTTTACCAGATCTGTTTCACTCTTTCCGGTTCTTTCCAATATACGTTGGCAGCGCAGATGTGGAGAAGGGATTATATATATTCCCACAGTGTTGTTTATGTTGAAAGTTGTCTGGCGTTAGAAACCCTTGCTGACCTGACACCTACAGTGTCATTGGGTTGCAGGACCCCCTTCCCTAACACCAGTTCCTGACACAGCTGGTCCTCACTTTCAGAAGGCATCAAGGTCCTCCTGTCTATTTGAGGACTTCTGGTCAATACTCTCTTCTCTTTGCTCCCTTGCCGCGGTTTTCCATACCCCAAGTCCTGCCTAACCTGAGTCTATAAACCATCCTTTGTACTCAGAATCCTCCTAGCATGAGTGACTAAGCAGGAAGCTGGCAGCATGCTGAGGGAAGTGGTACTCCTCTGGTAAGGAAAGGGCCAGGCCCTGTTTGTCTCTGAAATACACACACCCATGGTGGCTCAGCCTGACTTTTACAATGGACAGTGTAGGAATTGCCTGTTTTAGTTTCATTTCCTCCTGACCTTGGTCAGCAGATTACCTTCAGAGATATGAGGCTGATGACATACTCCACACACCCAGAACTTTTTCTAACACATTTCTAACACCGAAGACATGGGTAGTTTACCCCACCACAAACCCCCTTTCTCTGCCAGGCATGAGCCTTGGCCTGTAGTCTCAGGAGAAAAACAAGTAGAGCCCTGTGGTTTAAATGACTTGTCACCTCCCTGTTTCAAGATGGGCCCCAAGGTATACAGGAGGTTCAGGACACTTCTTAAATCTAGTCCCAAAACTTGGCATGTGGGAAGGTTTGGAAGCTTGTGCGCCTTGGTTTCTTTATCGATGAAAGGACTGCCGCAGGCATTTCCACACTTGTCTTCTTCTGTGGCTTGTCACTAGTCACCTGGTCACTTTTGTAGTCTAGCCACCAGAGTTACCCAGGGCTGCTTCCTTCCCAGAAGGGAAGAGACACTGAGCCAAGACAGCTGAGCCTCCACATGCACTCAGCTTTGCTGTACCTGCTGTGAGGTGCCTTCTGGAGGCTTCACTTAGGGGCCTGGCCTAGGGGAAGGGCACTCTAGCTCAGTCAACAGCATGGCCAGGGCCGTGAGAACTGAAGCCAAAGTTACCACATGAATTAGTTGTCTCACATTTTCATTGGACTAAGCAACCCTTCTGGGGGAGGTAGTATTTCTTCTTTTTACAGTACCAAGTATCAAACCTAAAGCCTTATGCTTGCTAGCTAAGCATCCCTGGCCCAGGGGAGGATAGATTTTTTTCCCCCTGTGTGGCCATGAACACTGGCATATATGAACTAAGTTTCTTAAGGGTCAGAGGTGGGTGGGGTGGAGTTCCTGCCCCCGTCTTTGGCCCCTGCATAGCTGCTCTTTTCACTGGGGTGGACATTTCCTCACTAGATGAGATCTTGAAGCAAGCGGAGAGGACCAACCGTCACAGCCTTACTCAGAACTGCCCCTGAGTTAATGTACCCTACCCCAGTGGAGGGTTCATGCCTCTTTTTTAGCCTTCTGTACCTATCCCAAGACAACCTTGGACTCTAGATTGGGGTTTTGGAAATAGCCGGAAGGCATATGTCAGTCAGTGACAACTCTTGTTCATTTCAGATTTGGTGGACAGGCACAATGAGAGTTCAAAAACGACTCATCTTACCCCTGTTTCTTCTGGCTGTCCTGTGCTCTACAGGTGAGTAGTCACAGTCTCTAGACTGCCCTTGGCCATGATGCTACTTTTGTTGGGCCTCCGGGAGTCTGAGCTGCTGCCCTTGTCCTCCAGACCCTCACCAAGGCCTAACTTTGGTTTCTTTGTTTGGAGTGGTCCAGATGCTGCTTGTGTGACAGCTCTGATGCTTTGGGATGCCTTCCATGGGGTGTCTGCCTGAGTTAAAGCCCACCCTGGGTTACAGAGCTGGGCTTTTGGGTTTTGTTTGCTTTCTTTTTAAAACAGAGGTGGAGATCATGTGGTTTGTTTGTTTGCTTTTGTTCTCCTATGCCACCACATATTACTTTGGGACTCTAGCAGATATCATCCTTAAAATGCTACACAGATCCTTTTCGAAAGATCTCAGTGTGGGATATAAGGGGGGCACTGGGTGGGTTGTCCTTTAGGCAAGAGTTTATTAGAGTTATTAACGCCATGGATAGACAGACAGACAGTAAGTAGGAGGGACGCTGATGAGGTAGGTAAAGTGGAGGCACCTTGCAGATCTCAAAGAGGGAAGGCTTCACAGCCTGAGTCTGTAGCCAGGCTGTCTCTGATGTGGAGGTTATGGCTTTTGTCACTGAGTCTGACCATCTGAGGTCTCTGAACGTCCTTGGGGAAAGGGAAATGGAATAGAGGCACCTGGGACTATGGGTTCATAGTTGGGCTTTCAGTGAGGAACTTGCTTCCTTTACAGAAGAAAGTAGCAGCAGCACTCTAGGCTGATGCCAACAGCTTTGTGCCTCTAATGCAGTGATTCCCCTGAAGGCTTTCCAGCAGGCAGGGAAAAACAAGAGTCTCACAGAGACAAGAGTGTTAACTTGGCCCAGCCCTATTTTATTGTAGCTGATGATGGACCAGGACTTCTAGAGTCTGGCCCAGATCATTTTGCTTTAGTCATCTTCAAGCACAGCACAATTTTGGAGAAAAAAAAGTATTCAGATAACAATTAACTCATCCCCAAGTACACAATTTAAAACATGTTTGTTTACATTGAGATTCTTTACAAAGTACATCCGGTTTCTTTCACAAGAATAGGTACTATTGACTCAGATAGTACCCAAGATTTAGAGACTGTCAGCTGCCCTGTGACAAGTTTGCAGCATGCCTAGTCTCCTTCCTCAGATAACAGGGTGTGAAGCTAAAGGTGGAGGAGAAGGAAAGCTTTTTGTCTTTGAGACAGGGTTTCTTTGTGCTCTGGCTGTCCTGAAGCTAGCTCTGTAGACCAGGCTGGCCTCACAGAGATCCACCTGCCTCTGCCTCTACTGGGATTAAAGGCATGGGCCACCACTGACTTGATGGGGAAATTGTTTTTAATTGCTGTTGTCTAAGACCCTAGGAAGCCCTCAGGAGAATTTTTCTGGTAATAAGCCAGTGTGTCAAAGGCAGGAGATGACATTTGATCTTTTGTAATGAAGAAAATTAAGTGGTATAGTTTTTTCTGTTGTTACAACAGTTAGAGCAGGATAGCTCTCTCCAGGAACTAGGGCAAGAAGTGGCCCAGAGGCTTAAGTCCCCCTCTGTCCTGGCTCAGCAGCAACTATCCACTGACTTATGACCTGTCTGCTCTTGAACTGGACATTATTTGCTTTTCCCAACTCAGTGAAGGTAGAGAGTATCTTGGCTAAACAAGGCTTCTGTTTCAGAGCTGATAGTCTGGGTTTGGATCTCAGCTCTGTTACTGAGATGTTTGTCATGTGACATTCATCATGTCTATTAATACCTTTACCTTAGTTTTCTCTTCTGCAATGGGGTTGACACTTCTTGAGCCTGCTAATCATAACAGTTCTGTGGAGGGCCTAGCATACAGGTGCACAGACATCGGAACACAGATGGAATATGCTAGCTAGGGATATGTGTGCCCTACAGAAGTTCCCAGCATGACACTGGCTTTGTCCTTTCCATTTAAAGTCTTGTCACTAAGCCATATGAACTCTGGCTCTAGCCAGGAGACCAATTCACTTCTGTGACTGAGCTTATAAGCTGGCCCTTAAATAGCCACGCTAGTGCAACACCCTTCCTCTCCATTCTTTGCTTCTCATATGTATGTATCTATATGTAGCACAGGAAGGGACTATAGAAGAATGGCATCCTTAGGTTTCTCATGCTGACACTGGAGGAAAGCAAGCAGATATGTTTGATGGAGTCCTGCCTGCGGGCTTGGGGACCCCACTTTGACTCTGTAACTCTATGGCTGGGTGTCCTTCAGAAGTCACTTCACCTCACCAGCATTGGTCTTGTCGTCTACAAACAAAGTAGAGGGGGGAAAGTTTTGTTTTGTTGTTACTGATGTTTTAGGGGGTTGAATCGGAACCTTGCTTGCTAAGTCAAATGCCCCCAGTGAGTGAGATGTCCCACCTGTAAAGGCTTAGGTATTAAGATACACTACAGAGAGCTTGCTTCCTGGCTGGATTCAGAAGTGAAGATCTCAACTTCTAGGAGCATCTCCTTGTCTCCTAGTAAACAGAGGCATTGGCCTTACAACTAAAGGTCATCACTTAGGAATAAAGGTCAGCCACGCTGGGTTTAGTCATGACATCGTTTTATGAGATTGTATGTTTCATCTTTGAAAATAGCTTTCTGTGGGTGGGTGCTGCAAAATACTGATGCCATGGTAGAAGCCATGTGACAGGAAGACTATTCTCTCTGACACGGGGGAAGGGAATACATCCATACCCACATGAACTGACAAGATTCCTTTCTGATTCTTGCCTTGGCTTCTTTTCACATACACTGGCTATCATATTTTCCTTGTCATTATGTTATAAAATTGAAGAAAGAAAAATAAGTCAGTAAACCCGACTCTTAGCTCTCAACAGTAAGTCATAACTAGAGTGAGCGACAGTAGTAATTTTTTGTTTGTTGTTTGTTTTTGAATTAGGGAACACTGGCTCTGCTGTGACTGGTTATCTTGTCTATAGGTGCTTCTGACCCTGGGTCTGTCCTAACAGGAAGCAGTTCAGTGATGATATGCTATTCCGGAGGGAATTAAACTTTGTCTCTAAAGAACCAGTTTGCAAATACTTTAGGCTTTACACGCCAGGAGGCAAAGAATCCAATACACTCTGTGAGCTCATATAAATAAAAGAGAGGAAGCAAATTTCTACAAAATGTTGATTGACAAAAAAACCTCAATGTAATAACTGCCTATCAATGTATAATGTCTATCTGCTAATGAGTGGAATAATGTTTTTTAGAAGGATAACATTTTGCTTATGGTTTAGTGTTCCCCATCACCAAATCGGTTAGTTGTAAATGTTCAACTGAAAGTACTAATCTGAAGAGACTTTTTACCTTTGAAAATGTCTTTTCACACCAACAAGTACTGATTATCACCCACATAGGTGTGATATAGTTGAGTCTATTTTTGCTTGTGAGACCCTCAAGAGATTGTGAGGTCATTCTCTCGGTAGTTCCTATCTCCTGTCATCCCATTGCAGATTATCACCTTCCAGTGGAAGGTGAGGAGGAAGCCTCTCAGTTGTATATCTAGATGGAGTCTTGGTTTGATTTTTTGGATGGGGTGCTGTGTAACCTGGGCAGTCTTTGGAATCACTATTTAACCAGTGCTGGCCTTAACCTCCAACACCCTTTCTCCATCTCCTAAGCACTTGGATTGTATGTGCACATCAGCACAGCTCCATTGGATGGGTCTGGGAGTCTGGGGATGCTCTTTGCACTTACACGTGGGAATCCTCTCATTGAAAAATCTACCTGCTGGCCAGGCAGTGGTGACGCACTGCCTTTAATTCCAGCTGGGAGGCAGGCAGGCAGATCTCTGTGAGATCAAGTCCAGCCTGTCTACATAGTGAGTCCACAAGAGCCAGCCCTACATAGAAAGAACCTGTCTCAAAAAACAAACAAAACAATACAATACATGTTCGTCACTGGCAAAGTCACTGATGGACCTTCACAACTACTCTTCGTGAGCTCCAGCACAGGCCCTTTGAGTCCTAATTCCCCTCAGTCTGTTCTGTGTTTCTTTTGTCATTTGTAGGAGGATTTTTTTTAAGTCATGCAGGCTATGTCTTACAATTCTGTGTTTGGGCTCATTTTTCTGTGGCTAATTCAAGAGATCCATAAATTGCGGCAAAATCAGTTGTCTTCTGCCACTTAGATGGATTCTCAGTCTGAATGCAAAGATGATAGCCCATTGTCATTTTGAACACTTAAGCTAGCTTTCCCTGCAATTTCTGTCTTAGTTACCATCAAAACAAAAATAAAACTCTCATCTCAAAGGGGACAGAGATAGTTTATTCTGGAGCCAAATATGAACCATGGCCTGGAAAGACAGATTTAGGTTACCTCAAATTCAGTGTTCCAACATGGAAGGAGTCTGAGGAGATTTTGTAGCAATAGAACCAAGCAAGTCATGAATCAAGATGATATTGGAATACCCTGGTGGAGACATTAGGTAGCTGGGTTAAAGTGGAATGGGGAACTCTGTTATAGACCTCAGGTGCCCTCTGGCTGTACTCATACTCTTCTGGTTGGTTAGAATCCAGTGTTCAGTCTGTATATACCAAACAGTTTACCTGATGGTCACAAAGCTGGTTGGTCAAGTACAGAGGGAGGCCATAAATGGCCAAGGAATTTGTTCTGGATTTCACATTCCAATTAAGGCTCAGCGTTTGTTGAGGAACTTTCATTCACGGTATTGAACGGTCTCAAATGTGATTTATTTATGTGATTTATCTAACGTCGGAGGTATGGCAGGGTCTGAAGGGAGAGGGGAAACTTCAAAAGGCTTGCAAAAGCAAGGACATTTGTTTTAATTTGAGGAAGAAAATAAGACTGGGAGTGAGGGAGGAGGGAGTATGGAGAAGTGAGGAAGGAATCTAGAAGAGGAATGTGAGGTATGGAGGAAATGGGAGGGAAATGTGCCCTTTGACCTCTGTGGTCTCTAAGCAGCTTGGCAATTGTCATTCTCCTGGAATCCAGACACCTAGGGGATTGGCTTGATAAACTCTAACAAGTTCTCTAAGCTCCCTGGAGCAGCTGGAGATCCCTGAATCAACTTTGACCTCAGTTATTTGGAGACCCGAAAGGACTTTCCTGCTCCTCCTGGATTTAGCATTTCTTCCCCTGAAGTCTTGGGGTTGGGATGGGGCCATGCCTAGGGCACCTGTCCCAGAGTGGGGACATCCTCCTGGTGGGGTGCTTGCTAGTATCTGTTAAGACTTGAGGGAAGCATGGTCAGGTTAGCCCCTGGTTCTAACCTAACAGGAATTTCCTTCCCCATGTGAAGGATATCAGATCATATGCTTTCTCTGAAGTAGTTGGCTGTTTTTTATAAGGAATGTATTTTTTGTTGTTTTCCTATCAGCTAACCAGGGACTATATTTCTCTGAATCTCCCTCTTCTTCGTGCTGTATTAACCAATTGTGTCAGATTATGAAATTTGGTTCCCACCACTGGGATGAAAGGCAGTCACTACCGACAGTGGGGAGAAAAATGGAAGTGATTTTGGTGAGGGCATTTGCTAGTCTGATTTGCACTCTATCACACTCTTTATGGAAAAAAGAGGAAAGAAAGAAAGAAATGTACTTGCTGAGTTACTTTTGGTTTGTTCCTTTTCCCCAACAGTTATGAACTTCCTGGTTTAGATGGTTACTGTGTCAATCCAAGGGTGGTTGAGCCTCAGGGAAAAGAACTAGCTCCCTCCCCTCTCCCAAATGAAACTCAGTCACAATAGAAGTAGGAAGGGGACTATTTGGGGACAGGAAAGGGTTGGGGATGGTGGTAAGGGGAGGAGTGTGAATGTGCTCACAATGCCTTGTATATGTGTATGAAATTGTCAAAATTTTAACTGAAAAATAAAACGTGGTCATGTTAGCCCTATCGCTCAGGAGGCAGAGGCAGGCAGATCTCTGTGAATTCAAGACCAGCTTGGTCTACAGAGCAGAGAGTTCTAGGATAGTCAGGGCATATAGAGAGACTCTGTCTTGACAGACAAAAAACAAAAAAAGATTAAAAACAAGCTGACCCAGACCTGTGCTCACTGGTGAGGTCTGCCTAAGTCATTACTGGTTTATCAGAACCCAACAGTCTTTCTCTCTGACTCTAGGTGTTAGCCTCAGATGCTACAGCTGTATAGACCCAGTTTCTTCATGCAAAACGAATGCCACTTGTTCAGTTAACCTGAATTCCTGTCTCATCGCTGTATCCGGTAAGGGCCCCTGGGTTTCTGGTCTGTGTGGTCAGTGGCGAGAACCTGGGAAACCTGGACCTCCCTAAATCTCACTGCATTTGAACTCACCGAGCAATGACTGCTATTTACCAGCACCAGCTTGTCATGAAGTACTGGACACTAAGCATTTCCTATGTACTTTTTATAAACATAGCATTTCTCAAGTAACCCTTGGGGCAATCTTCCTGTGTGACAGATGAGAAAGCTGAGGCTCATATAACACACCAGGCAAAGGTCAGGCAATCAACATGGGATTTGAATTGGGAAATTTATCTGATTCCCAAACTCAAGGCTTCTTAATAGTGATAGTGTTTGCCTTCCAAACTTCTGGGAGCCCCCAGTGTGCCAGGGCCCTAGCTAGGGATGCAAAAATGAAGAAAGAGTACGCATCAAAACCTTGACTATGGCCTATTAGCTTGTCCCAAATGACTGTCTAGACCTCTGTCTAAACATATGTATCTATGGATATGGAGTCCTGAGGGCACACTGGAGGAGCTCAATGGATAATAAATATCCAATGCCTAATAAGGAAAATTATTCATTTGAGAAGCCATTGCAGGTGCCCAGTAGAGCAGCCTCAAAGAACAAGGCATTTATGAGGAGGGAAGGAGCAGAATGTGCATAAGCCCATATCATCTGCTTTTCCAAGCTGGCTGAACTATGGAATCTTAAAGAATTTAGGAAGTGGTGGACAAGGAAGAAGCCAGCAGCTATCCTTTGTTTTTGGTGGCTATAGCTCTAAGCTAGGTAAATGTTGTGACTAAAGATAGTAGGAGGCATTAATCATTTCTGGTATATGCGATAAAATCCTTTCTAAGAGATAAGAATGAAAACTGCCTTCAAGTGTATTTTCTCCCAGGAAGGAAATTTTTTTCAATTAAGTGAGGACCAATCAAAGGTACTTTGTTTAAAAACAGGAGTACCTGATGATTTTTTTGTGTAAATTTCTGGACTATGGCCAGAATTCTAGGCCTTATGTTCAAAGTGTTTGATTCCATGGGGTAGAGGAGGAGGGCAGTCCTCCACACCTTCACAGCTAAGGTAGAAAATGTAACAATGCCCCCATGAGTACTAAGATCATTTCTTTTTTTTCTTTTATGTTGTTGAATTTTTTTCACTCAATAATGTTTTGGTTTATTCCATTTTCTTGATCTTAGCCCTCCTTATTGGTATGAAGCCATATTTCTCTCTCTGTCTCTCTATCACTACTATGTAGCAAACAAATTCATGAATAGATTTTGTATAAGTGCTTGCTTTACTAATAGTATTGTGTCTCTTTTCCTACACTGTAAAAGTAAATTGATTGATCGGAGGCTACATGTGTTTAAAATCCTAGTAGGTATCACCAGGTTTCCCTCTAAGTAGAAATATAACTGCCTATAACTTCCCCCCATTCACACACTCACACACTTGCACACTGGCTCTGACAAGATTTATGGGACATTCTCCATTTGGAGGTGTGCTGTTACTTGATGGTTTCCTTTTACACTCCAGTTGGGATGCCTGTTTCTGCCCAAACCTCTCTATTCTCATAGGCTAAGCTCCCAGAATGTCAGGCTGAAAACTGCACCTGTGTGGTTTCTTAGCGAATGTTTCTCTCCACAGGAAAGCAATTCTATCATCAGTGTTGGGAATTTTCAGAATGTGATGCCAGCACCCTTTTGAAAAGATTAAACCTGAAATCTCTAGAGTACAGATGCTGCCAGACGGACTTGTGTAACAAAAAGCTCAAAGCAGAAGAAGAAAAAAACAAAGAAAGTGGCGGGGGTACAAAAGGTGAAGCGACCTCCTTATCCGGGAAGACCGTGTTGCTGGGGACCTCGGTCCTGGCAGCCATCTGGAAGTTGTGTCTCTAAGTTACCACTGAGCCCCAGAGTGCCTCTGTTCTCTGTCTTTTTTGCTGCCACTGCGGCTCTCCAAAGCTGTTATTGTTTTCAGTTATATCCTTTTGGGAAAGAATAAAGTTCATTTGACCATCATGGATAAGAGGAACAGTGTGGAGGCCCGCCTGTGCACGGGAAAGGCCCACCTTAAGTTTAAGGGTGAAGGAGGACTGGACTGTCTTTCTGACTCAGCTCAAGTGCGCTTTTGGCAACCCTCAGGGTTATCTCTCTGTACCTAGGACGGAGCTGAGGAGTTCAGCCAGTACCTTTAGGAGGGAGTGACCCAGAGGGATTCTTCTCACCATTCTGTTACATCATAAAATGCTTTCACAGCCTTTGCAGACCCTGACTTGGTGTGAGTATTCCAGATGTGAATGGTCAGTCAGAGCCAGCTGTAGCACCAAAAATAAAAGACCCAGAGACAGATATTGTGGTTCAAGCTTTAAGCTGAAGACCAGAGAAGCAAAACAGTCAAGCCAGTAGATATTACCTCTATCCAGTTGAAACGGCAATCCTGTCTCCACGAATCCTCAGAGGCAAAAGGCTCTCAGATCCCATCTCTTCCTCCTTACATTCTTTTCTCTGCCCAACCATGTACTGCTGTTTCCACCTCCATAGTGCTGGAATTAAAGGCGTGTGATCCCAGGTGCTGAGATCACCTTTATGTGAGCTGTTTCTTTTAGCACTGGATCATTTTTGTGTAGTCCATGTGGCCTTGAACTAACAGAGATCCATATACTTCTTTTTTAAAAGATTTATCTATTTATGTATGTATGCAGTATTCTGCCTGTATGTACACCTGCAGGCCAGAAGAGGCACAAGATCTCATTGTGGATGGTTGTAAGCAAATTTGTGGTTGCTGGGAATTGAACTCAGGACCTCTGGAAGAGCAGCCAGTGCTCTTAACCGCTGAGCCATCTCTCCAATCTGATCCATCTACTTTCTTAATCCTGAGTCCTGGGATTAAAGGTATGTACTACATCACTTAGCTTCTAGAGCTAACTAGTATGGCTGCTTTGCTATTTTGATCTCCAGTGGCTTTAATAAATTATAAACAATAGGCAGTGATGTTGTTTGTTTACTTGTTTGGAATGAAGCCCAGACCCTTGAGCGTAAGACAAGTGCCACACTTCCAGCTCAAGCCTGTTATCTCAGCACTCATGAGGCAGAGGCTCCTGCCATAAGTTCAAGGCCAACCTGACCACATAGTGAATCCCAGGTCACCCAGAACTATATAGTAAGACTTTGCCTAAGAAATAGAGAGGGAAAGAAAGAAAAGTCAAAATAAAAGAAAACACAAAAAGTCTGTCTGTTCTTTTTATAGAAGTACCAGTGACTACAATTTGAGTTTTCCCAAATCTCTAAATTTTACATAGGATTTCCTAACTTTCATTAGAGAGATGTAGTTGCCTATAATAATGCTCTATCAAAGTTATTCCCTCTCATTTTTTTTCTTGGAAAAGCAGATTATCCTGACTTTGATCCACATGATGAAATAATAAACAGCCTTGCTATATGACAGAGGCATGCAAGTGTGTTTATTTTTTTTATTTTATTTTATTTTTTTGGTTTTTTGAGACAGGGTTTCTCTGTATTGTTTTGGAGGTTGTCCTGGAACTAGCTCTGTAGACCAGGCTGGCCTCGAACTTACAGAGATCCGCCTGCCTCTGCCTCCCGAGTGCTGGGATTAAAGGCGTGCGCCACCAACGCCCGGCGCAAGTGTGTTTATTTTAAATGTCACCTAACAGGATGTATGCGGTGGGACAGACCGTGGGCTGTCATTTGAGATGTCCAAATGTGTTCAGGAATAGCAGCAGCTGGCCGGCAAGTACGTCCTCCCTGCCTCTCTCCAGCTTGCTGGCTTCTCGGTGATTCAGTACAGTTCACGCTCAACACATTCACCATGGCTGTTAGCACAGTCAGAAACCACCCGACCCTGGAAGCCTCCTTCCTGAGAAAGGAGAAGTCGCCAGGTGTTGCGTTGGTGGCACACACTGGAGGGGGAGAGTGGGGGGTGGGCAGAGGCAGGCAGATCTCTATGAGTTTGAGGCCAGCCTGGTCTACAGAGTGAGTTCCAGGACAGGCTCCAAAGCAATACAGAGAAACCCTGTCTCAAAAAACCAAAAAAAAAAAAAAAAAAAGAAAACGAAAGAAAGGAGAAGTCTTGTTTCTAGGCCACATCTGATTTGGGATCTTGGCTGTATTCAGTGCCCTAGCCTGACCTTTGCAGAAGAGCAGAAGAAGGAATTCCTTTAGTAACTTTATTAACTTGAAAAACTTTTTTTAAAAGGATGTTAAATTCAAAAAAGAAAACTTTATATAAAATGCTAGACAAATCATGTGTATTATTTTAGACAGCTATGCAATAATGAAAACTCCCAGCCAATGGATGCACATGGTGAGTGCAGCAGAAAGGAGGCAGACAGTCATTCATGTGCTCAAGGGGAGCAACAGAAAGAAGACACCATTGGGCACCTTCACCTCCTGCTGCCTTGGTTAGCAGTGTCCTCTGCTGTTCCAGATGTCTGTCTCAGTCTGTCTCAAGATCCAGATTCCAGTGTAAGACTGTCTGACCAGTATCTTGGGCTGTGTATCTCAACTTAATGGAAAGAGTTCATTGGGGGAAAGGGAAAAGGCAGTTTTGTTCTACTTTGTTTTATTTTTAAAAGTTACTTTCTGCCACACAAGGTAGTAGCACACGCCTTTAATCCCAGCAATCAGGAGCCAGCAGCAGGCAGATCTCTTGAGTTTGAGGCCAGCCTGGTCTACATAGTGAGTTCCAGGACAGCCAGGGCTGCTACATAGAGAAACTCTGTCTCAATTAAAAACATTTTTAAAAAGTTACATTTGTGTTTCTTTCCCCCTCCCACCCCCATCATTCTGTGTGTGTGCAAGTGAGTGAGTGAGTGAGTGAGTGTGTGTGTGTGTGTGTGTGTGTGTGTGGCGCACATGTGGAGGTGAGGGGTCACAGGAGAACTTGGTAGAGTCACTTCTCACCTATTGTGAGATCTGGGAGCCAAGCTCCTTTACCTGCTAAGCCATCTCACTGGTTCCCAAAAGGCAGGTTTTTGAAGACAGAATCTGGGTCCTGCTGGAGGAGGAGGAGGGCTACTGTTTCTTTCTGCACACAGCTGTGTTTGTGGGTTGGTGCCTGGACCCACAGGTGGTACTGCTCAGGCCACATAAGTAGAGAGCAGGTCATCATTGGCTTTCACAGAAACTGTCATACGGTTCAGGGCTGGGCATAAATAATCCCACCGGGCAGTCTTTAGAAGGTGAACTGTGGGTTCAAAGGTATACTGAGTGGGCTTGTAAATAGAATTCATATGTGTCCTAGAGGATGTTGACCAGTATCTAACTTAATCTTGGAAGTACTAAGGCTAAGGTGTGGGGAAATGCCTCCTGTATCCTGGTAGTCAGCCCTGTGATGTAACATGGTGTGTGCATCCTAACATAATAAAAGACTGTCTGATTCTGTTCTATATGGTTTGGATTTGAGACTTCCTGAGAGAATAGACTAGATGTATAGATGTATACATCTTCATTCTTAGTAGATCAGGTGGTTTGTGTTGCTTAAGGTAAGTCTTTTGTCTTCAAAGCCTTTTAGCACATCCTGGTTTCTGTGGCTTGCAAACCGATCTGAACTGATGCTACAGCGCTCTCTCACTAAGAGCTACTTGTGCTGAGAAGGTGATGTTGTTTAAAGGTGGTACTCACCTGATATTGTGATGAGGGCAACTTCAGGTGCAGGACTTGCCAGCTCTGGCCTCAAGTCTGTCTTCATCAGCATCACAATCTCACCTGGCATAAGATTTGGAACTACAGGGACTAACTGCTGAGCCATCTCTCCAACCAGTGGTTAAGAGCACTGGATGCTCTTCCAGAGAACCCAGATTTGATTCCCAGCAACCACATGGCAGCTCACAACTGTAACTCCAATTCTAGGGGATCTGATGTACTCTCCTCTCTCCACAGGTGCCAGCGCCTATACACATAAAATAATAAAATAGAGTGGTTGGAACTGCATTTGGAGAAATATCTGAGTTGCTCAAGGCCACCAAAGGCAGTAAGGTGACATATTTGCATTGGCTCTGCAATCACCCTCCCTCCTTGTGTGCACAATCTTTGATGTACTTAAGGATGACTTGGAAAGAAACCTGGGCTAGGACCTGTAGGGACACCAGACCTTGAGCAGAAACCCACATCCCCTTTGGCCTAGGAGCAAGCAGCTGTGAGATAATGTTTACTGAAAACAATTCAGTGCTATAAAGCTCTTGATAGGGCTCAGATAAGGGCTCACTCACTGAAAAACCATGACTTTGACACCCCCTACGGCTAGATGCCTCTTCCTGTTCCCCTGCTGTGTCTTCCCGTGGGGCCGGAGATGAAACCACCAGCCAGGAGGGTGAGAAGTCTGGAAAGAATTGTATGTAGATGGATGGCAAAAGTCCTTAAAAAGGGGAAGCGTTTTTTTTCTTGGAGAGGCTTCTCTCTCCTAAGCGGACTTGGAGTCTCCTCCTAAGCTGACTTGGGAAACATAAAGTTTTTCTTAAAGCAACCGACCGGTCTCTGTGTCATCTATCCTGACAGCAGGTGCGACAAGGACCCTGTCTTAGGGTTTCTATTGCTGTGAAGAGACATCATGACCATAGCAACTCTTAGAAACAAAGCAGTTGACTGAGGTGGCAGCTTACAGTTCAAAGGTTCAGACCACTCCATTACCATCATGGCAGGGAGCATGGCTGTGTGCAGGCAGACATGGTGCTGGCTTCATCTTAATCAGAAGGGGACAGGAAGTGAAATGTGACATTGGGCAGTATTTTGAGCATATATGAGACCTCATAGCCCATAGTGACACACTGCCTCCAACAAGACCACCTACTCTAACAAGGCCACACCTCCTAATAGTGCCATTCCCTATGAGTTTACGGGAGCCAATATATTCAAATTACCACAGAAGCTGAAGAAATCAATTCTTGCCTTTGTTTACAAAAGAAAACTTTTTTTTCGAGACAGGGTTTTTTTTGTGTAGCCCTGGCTGTCCCGGAGCTTGCTCTGTAGACCAGGCTAGCCTCGAACTCACAGAGATCTGCCTACCTCTGCCTCCTGAGTGCTGGGATTAAAGGTATGTGTCATCACTGCCCAGCAAAAGAAAACGTAAGTGCCTGTTTTGTCATTAAATTTCCCAACAGTGTGAGCCTTACAGACTTTCTAGAAACATCACTTCCAAACACCATTATATCACTTTCTGTTTGTAAATGCCCACTCTAGATGCTTTAATATAGCAGCAATTAACTACATGGGCTAGTACTTGGAAGACAGTGTATCCCAGACTATCCTTGGTCTCACTATATAGCTGAGGATAACCTTGAACTTGTGATCTCCCTGCTTCTATTTTCAAATGCCAAGACTAAAGTGTGATCCACCCTATCAAGCTTATGAGGTGCTAGAGGTGGAACCAAGAGCTTCATGTACAATAAGCAAGCACCTCATCAACTAGTCCTGTTTGTTGGGTTAAAGGAAAAACAAAACAACCTAGCTTGGGCTTTCTGCATATACCTAGGATCTGAAGGGGAATGCTTTTGTGAAGTGTCTGATAAGCAACATGCCGGTTATAGTAGACATTAAATTGGGGCACTGTGGTTTAGACTACTACCCAAAACCACATT